TCACCCCCTGGAGCCGTGTGAGACACTTTTTTTTTATGGATGGGTGCATTTTATTTAACTGCTTTTGGACTGATGCATGCAACACCCGCTGAGTGCCATGAAACAGCTTGAAAGATCAAAGACCATTTTTAATATAACTCTGGCTGGATTCATCTGAAAGAAGAAAGCCATATACACCTAGGATGACTTAAGGGTGAGTAATTTATGGGCTAATTTTCATTTTTGGGTGAACTAACCCTTTAAGTATTTCAACTGGATCACATATACACAACATATTTGTGACTGCCTTCTGAGAGTTTCTTACTTCTAGATTATTCTACTAGTTAGTTACAAAATCTCCATTTATATGTCAGTAAAATTAGTTGAAGCGCACATCTCTAGTCATTACTATGACATTGCTATGCTGTTGCTTAGGTGGGTGGCTGGTAGGTAGTTAGAGTGTTATGGGTGGTTCTTAGCAGTCATATTATTCCGAAAGATAAATTCCTTCTGAATAGTAAAAGACACTGACAAAAAAAAGTATTTGTTACCTGTATAATTTGACTTATTAAAATGCTGATTGTATCTGAAAGTAAAATGTAAACAGTTCAAAAGCAGTGCTCTAACAAATCCAGGGGTTGCATAAAAATGAGCAAACATATTGCTAGCATAATCTACTCTGCTCAAAGCCCATTGAAACCTGTGAGACAGAGGCAAATTCTGTAATACAATCTGAATTACTGAATTGCGCTTTGCATGTGGATAAGCAACGGATATAAAAAGAAATTATTCTGATAGATCTCTTTGCAGCATTCTCTCAACAGGCTTAAAGTGGAGCCCCAGGGGAGCTGAAATCTCATTTAGACATCTATCCTTTGCCCTTAAAATCTCTTTCAAATAATGTGTAATAAACAATGTGAGTAGTTTGCTCTAATATGACCAGTATAAGATTTAATTAGCTGTGAACAATAATGAGCGATCAAATGTGTACAGTGGGGCTGCTTGTATCTAAGATAAGTGTAGTGCTATTCAGAAGCCTTACAGCCTACAGTACAATCAGTGAGGAGATTCAAAGTGTTCTAGAGTTTAATCTGAAATCTGTCATCTCATTCATGCGTTGCACTACTGTGGATTGCTTGTTTTCAGAGATCTGGTGTATTAACTGCTGTGCTTTGAATAACGTCATTTTGGGCAAGAGATCTTCTTACAGACGTAGCACTGCTGTCACTAGAGACTCTAGCTTTTAGGAGAAAAATAAGATGGTTTTAAGTACAGTGACTTTGACATGATGAGTTTTTTTTTAGCTATTTTTAAAAAGGCAGATATACACGTCAAAAAATGCTAATGTTCCCCTATCTATGATGACCAGATGACCATATTAAAAATAAATCCAGGTACATTGTGGGTGTCAAGTATGTGCACTAGTGTTTATGTGCATGAAAAATAGTTTGGGTGTGATTTAAGTTTATAACAGTCCATAAAGAACATGAAATATTTTATTAAAAATGATACTAATTCTTTAAAATGCATGGCGCTAACAATGGCCATGGGTTTGATTCCTAGGAAATTCATGAAAATGTAAATGTGTATGTAAATTAAAATATCCTGGAAACATTCAGAAAGAACGAAAGATGCAAATTCATATCTTTCTGAAGGGGAACCAAATTGTCCAGCTAATAAACAGTGTAATTGTCAGTGTAATAAATGCAGCTGTACTTTTATTAGCTAATCTCATCAGTGCCTCATCCTACGCAATCATATGCACAAAATATTAATAAAAAAAACAGTTTTTTCTGCGCCTTACGTCATCTGGCTGATAAATTGGTGTTGTCTGTAATGGAAGGCCAGGTCTGGTACTGAAGCCATGACGTTATTCTTCTGGGGCCGAATGGCATCAATGACAAACACACTTTTTTTCTGTTTTTTTTCTGGACCCCTGCCTGAGCGACAGAAGGCAGATAAGTGGCTGTTTGGTTATGCAAATGCTGATCTGCTGCCCAGGAAGATGTCACTGGTTTTGACTATACTTTATAATGTAAGAGTGCAAAGAGTGACGTCATATGGTACACTCTAAAAAATGCTGGGTTGTTTCAACCCAATGTTGGGTCAAATGTGGACTAACCCAACTGTTGGGTTAAATTTTGGTTACATTTTTAAATTAACTTTTTAACCCAACAGTTGGGTTAATCCATATTTGACCCAATATTGGGTTGAAACAACCCAGCATTTTTTAGAGTGTAGTAATTGTGGCCCAAAATTCTCACAGTAATTTTGGTGAGCAATGGTCATCTATTACTTATGCTTTTTCATTTTTTGATGAGATATGCCTTTAACTGTTTCATTGTTACATGATTCATAGGTATGAGGAAGAAGGAAGTCACATGAAAGTGAATAAATTATGATAAAGTTATCGTTATTGAGCAAACTAACCCTGTAACACATGTAACATAATGGATATAAAGACAAATACTGGCCACTTGCTTAATACTGTTGCTGAATGATGCCTATGATATTTGAGTATGTTCAGGATGCTGAATGTTAGGTCATAGATAGCACTGTTTAGCTCTCTGTCAGTGTGTTACAGACAGATTGTGTCTTTTTTCTACCACAAGATGTTTAGATGTTAAATGCCACCCAAACGCTAATGGCAAAGCCCTGACTGAACATCTGGAGTGATTTCTACATGGTTTCACACTTAGGCCCAATCCAAATTCTATTTTATACCCCTTCCCCTTCCCCTGAAGGGCTGAAAATATTCCCCTAAGAAATGGGACACCACTACTACACCGTTACACGTCATCATACGTCGTCGCTAACTCCTACGTCAAAGAAAATGCGCCGATGTTTATCACAAACTTCCAAGATGCCGTCGGTAGCTGCAGTGATCTCAGTTGTGTGGGTTACAGCTATTTTTTTGCATTTGTCTTCTGCACTTCGCAGAAGACAAAGGAGACAACGATGTGTTCGACGCCTATGTTTGCTGGAGGACCAGTTTATGGTATGTATGATGGCTGCAAAAACGTGTTGTTGTATTCAACGTAACGTTAAAAGCTGGAATATATAAAACTTTAGTGGACTTGTATTTTGTGGTGTTGTATGAGCCTGTTGGAGTTACCGACCTATGTTTGTATCCATATATGCGTTTACAGTGTGAAATGTTTACATGTTTTATCTGACTGAATGACACTTTGAAGTTACGCGGTCATCTATTGTTTGCACCATAGCTTCCCTTATAAAAATTTGCCATGGTTTTACAACGAATAAATTCAGAAAAACATGGTTATTGTAGTTATGCCATGTTAAACATTAAAACCAATGGTTTTTCTACTAAACGATAGTTAAAGTATGGTGTTTGTGTGGTAATACAAATGGTAATCAATACGTAAAAAAAAAAAAAAAAAAAAAAAAGTTTTTACTAGGCTATAATAAAACCATAGTCAATTTTCTTAAAGGTTGTGAGCTTTGTTTTGGGGAAGAGGACATGCCCCCAGATGTAGTAAAAGTTTGTACTATTCAGAATAATGATGTGAACTTATTTTTTTCCAGGCTGGCAGTCCAGTAACATACTGCATGTTAAATCGTAACGTGCCCATCTTGCAGTTGTGGCTTGACCTGGAGTTATTGCTGAAGCAGGATTTCTGCCTGAGCAGAAGAGCATTGAATGCTTTGCACCGGCTCTTACAAAGAGAACAGGACCATGGCTGGGGTCATCAGTTGGAAACTCTAATCTACGTTTACTGTCTCGCTCATGGACTGTAGTATCGGGTAGTGTCCAGTGTTTTCAATGTGCTGAAAGCTACAGTCCACCGCGTAATCCACAGAGTGGCACAGAATATATGGGTTAACCTGAACAAAGCCATCTCCTTCCCACAAGCAGAGGAACTACAGGCAGTGGGGCAAGGATTCGTCCAACTGTCAAGAACCCCTGCCTTTAAAAACGTTGTTGGAGCAATAGATGGCACCCACATAAGGATCAAACCCCCAAAGCGGCACCAAATTGACTATTTGAACTACAAGGGCTTTTATTACATTAACATGCAAGCAATATGTGACTCCAGTGGACGTTTCCTGGACATTTATGTTGGCTATCCAGGGTCAGTTCACGACACACGAATATTGAAAAACAGTTCATTTTATAGGGCACAACGATATCCCCCTTCAGGGTACATTATTCTGGGTGATGGAGGCTATCCCTGTTTAGACACCCCAGTCTGCTTGATCCCACCCTATAAAGAGCCAGTGAATGGAGAAGTCCAGGGCCGCTTCAATTACTACCACTCAAGGGCCCGTAGCATAATTGAAAGGGCTTTCGGCATGATGAAAACGAGATGGGGATCTACACTTTTCAGAGCCCTGGAAGTCAAACCAACATTTGCACCCCAGGTCATTGCTTCCTGTGCCTTTTTGCACAATGTATGTTTGGACAATGGAGATATGCTTGAGCCAGATGCCGACATTTCAAGGGACAATTTTGACTTCCACTCTCCCCGTGAAGGCCTGACATCCAATGAAACCTCTGGGAATGCTACAAGGGATAGACTGGCTGCCCTAGTTTCAGGAATTGTGCAAGCCCCGTGGACATGATCCAGACATACAGGTGTACTCCAATTTTTTTTTTTATGTTTCCCATTTTAAAACTGTTTTCATATTAGTTAATTATTGGAGATGCTATTCCTACCTTTTTCTATCTGTGTGTGTTGTTTGCAATAAAATGTTTTCATACATATCGCATGGTATTCTGTGTCTTTTCCATGTATGTTACTGATATTGAAACACCTTCTTTTAATAAACAGCAATATTGCTTTTTATTGCCTCAAATGTATAAACATCTGTATAAGGAGGTAGGATAATATCCAGTCACATCAAACAAAAATATTGCACTCGAATATATAAAAACTCGGTAAATAATCATAAAAAACAAAACATCATATAGAAAATTTCATTAAAAGTATAAAAAATGTAAACAACACACCTATACAGTTATGCAAGGAAACTTGTTAACAATAGTGCAAATTTCAAAACTATGAACTGTAAGAATTTTGAAAAATTGAAACACACATGAAAGACAACTACAATTTGTCTATCATTTTTTCGAAGAGATTCAAAAACCTCTCAGTCTTGGCCTCGCTCTCTTCATGGCGATTCTGCTCCTTTTGGGACTCTTCCACAAAAAAATCCAAAACGGGATTTTTTTTCTTTGGTGATGGAGTTGGGGGGCTTGCTATCACCATGGTGGATGCTGCACTAGAAGAGGCTGTCTCTTCCGATGTATTTTGCAAAGATGAGAAGGCTCCTATGGTGCTGGCAGCAGTACTTCCACTGGGTTCAACAGTGTCCTAGGAGAACAAGACGATATACACATGTACAGTCCAGAAATGGGTAATAAGTCATATATGTCAATACAGTTCTTCTCAAAAACATGTACATTAACATCAAACCAACAATAATAAAATTCCTGACCACAGAAATGGCAGGATTATATGCTATGCAGTGTATTTAAAACATTACCATGAGGATTGTTATGGGTTCCTCATTAGTGAATGATGCAACCACCACAGGAGGGTCCACAGAAGGCCTGGAACCCAACACCTCGTGCATTTCTTCAAAATACTGCCACGTAGAAGCTGTTACCTCTCCAGCATCTGTTCCAGAACCGGTTTTTGGAGTTTTTAGGTCCTGACAGAAGACACAAGCAGAATATTAATAATAATATAATAGAATTATTACTGTAAAATGTAGTTTAATGTAGACTATGAAAGTGACAAATATTAGAAGAAATTACTTCTTCACAAAGTGTGCATTTTACAAGGATAATACAAAACATGTACTGAAATGACTGTCTAGATTGTTAAAGGTTTTCATAGCACCACACTGCTTACCTTATATTTTTTCTTTAAATTCTCCCACTTCTTTGATGCTTGTTGGCCAGTCACTTTTCCCTCCAAACCCAATTCTTTTATTAGTGTCCTGTAACATTTAACCAAAATGAACAGTACTGAAGTGCACATATCTCACAGTAATCAGGCACAAGCACAACGTTTAACAGATTACTCACTCCCAAAGTTGTTTAGCATTGTATTTGTATTTCAGGAAATGCTGCTCGTTTTCAGCACGAAAACGTATGAGCCTTCGGGTTTCCTCAGGCGTCCCTGGTCGATACAGAACATACAATGCTGATGGATAATGTTGCAATATAGCACGAAAACTGAAAGCACTGTTTGTTAACATCATATTCACGTATTCATGGACGTAAAAACAATGCATTGATCAGACGTGCGGTAAAAGATAAGTTACCTGCCACCGGGCTAGTACTTATGTTGTCAAATCAGCGGGTATCAATAAAATATGTTGTGGAACTATCGCGCAGTCAATAACATTTATTATAGTGATTTTTTACAAAAGTTTTTTTCGGAGAACATAACCGTACATATGAACACAAGATTGAATACAACATAAAACAAATTATTATGTTATTAAAATCCTTATATATGCAAAAAAAATACTTACATTTATGGGACTCTCTGCTTGCTCGGGCAGCCATATTGCCGTGTGCGGGGAAATTTATCATACCCCTTCATTTGAAGTGAGGTCCGGAAAAATCTTCGTTTGAAGGGCTATCTGTCCCTTCCCCTTACTCCTACCCCTCCAGCCAAAAGAGAATTGAGACACCCCTACCCCTTCACATGAACGCACGAAACGAAGGGGAAGGGGAAAGTGAAGGGGTAAGGGGTAGAATTGGGATTGGGCCTTACACATTCACTTTTACACACGTCACAAACCTTTTGTGCATGTTTTACAGAGTGTGTGAATGAATTCAAACATTTACCTAGGAGAAAAAAAAAGAGTTGGGATTCTCCTAGAAATAGAAAAATTATTGCAATATTGATTATTTAACTTAGTTTGTTCTTCAAGTGATCTTCCAATAAATAATGGATATCCTGCTTGGCCCTGTGCTGCAGTGATTCACTGAACCCTGTAGGATATTGCTGTTCATGTTCATGCTGTTCTTGTTGAGATTTGGTTTGCTGTTTTTAGGGAGGTTATAGGAAAATGATTTCTCCGTTTTGACAGTGATGTACCTTGAGACAGACATCTTAACTTAAGTTGTCAAAGTGACATGAAATGTTAATGCTGTGAAGGAAGTCACATATCTGTCTGAGACATCAGCAGCACTGAATGTAGAACATAGAATGTAGAATGTAGAATGCAGAATGCAGAACACAGAACGCTTTTTGACTTTGGGGAAAAGTTACTAAAATACAGATACTTGGAAGACCAAGTAAAATCACAGAATGGGGTCACTGAGTGCTGAGGCACATAGTGTGTAAAAGTCGCGGACGCTTTGCTAATTCCAACAACCGTATGGCAAGAGCTTCATGGAATAGGTTTCCATGGCTGAGCATCTGCATGCAACCCTCACATCAAGTACAACGCAAAGAGTTGGATGTAGTTGTGTAAAGCATGCCACCACTGGACTCTGGAGCAGTGGAAACCTCTTCCGTGGAGTGACAAACCAAGCTTCTCTGTTTGGCAGTCACATGGGCGGGTCTGGATTTGGTGGATGCCAGGAGAACGTTGTAACTTGCCTGACTACATTGTGCCAACTGTAATGTTTGGTGAAGGAGGCATAATGATATGGGGCTGTTTTTAAGGGGTTTGACTAGAAATCTTAAACCTTCAGCATACCAAGGCATTTTTGACAATGCTGTGCTTCCAACTTTGTGAGAACAGTTTGGGGAAGGCCCTTTTCTATACCAGCATGATTGTGCCCCCGTGCAAAGCAAGGTCCATGAAGACATGGTTGGATGAGTTTGGTATGGAAGAACTTGACTGGCACCCACAGAGCCCTGACTTCAGCTGCATCCAACACCTTTAGGATAAACTGGAACGGAGATTGTGACCTTCTTGTCCAACATTAGTGTCTGAACTCACAAATGCTCTACTGGATGAATGGGCAAACATTCCCACAAAAACACTCTAAAATGTTGTGGAAAGCCTTCCCCAGAAAAGTGGAAGCTGTTATAGCTGCAAAGGGAAAACCAACTCCATATTAACTTCTAGAATGCAATATCATTGAAGTCCCTGTTAATGGTCAGGTGTCCCAGTACTTTTGTCCATATAATGTATGTATAATATTACTGTGTATATACAATATTACTACTATTATTATTCCTGTTACATTAATATTTGTATTAATATAATAAGCATGACACTAATTTATATACAGTGTATATATATATATATATATATATATATATACAGTATCTCACTGAAGTGAGTACACCCCTCACATTTTTGTAAATATTTTATTATATCTTTTCATGTGACAACACTGAAGAAATGACACTTTGCTACAATGTAAAGTAGTGAGTGTACAGCTTGTATAACAGTGTAATTTTGCTGTCCCCTCAAAATAACTCAACACACAGCCATTAATGTCTAAACCGCTGGCCACAAAAGTTGATTTTTTTATGTGGTTGTTCTTGTATGCAATAAATCAAATATATAGATACTACTTTTTTTCAGGCTATTCAAGGAATGGGGTTTTTGTTAGAAATTTCTGAGGCTTTATTTAGTTGTCTATATCAGAGTGGGGGTATTCCTGTGGGGTTCATTATGGTGCTGTGATTTTCTAGCATTTGCAGGGTCTCTCTGGAGAGTTGCGTTGGCAGGCTACGGGTAAAAGAAAGTGCCTTTTTGCTCACATTTCCCCCATTCTTTTAATGAGGCTAAGATCTCTGTCATAAATCTGTCCTTTATAAGTGGCCCGTCATTTTCAGAATGTATCTGTTCGTTACTTTGTATCAGTTTTAATTATGATGATTCGGTCAGTGTTGGTGTGAGGAGCCATACTCAGCAAATGATCCAACAAGATTAAAAATATACCGGACCCCTTTGGGAGGAAACTTTGCGCTAACCGTACCACCTGTAGTCAAAGACGGTGACGCTGTGGATATGTTAGATCATTAAAGGGGTCATATGATGCTGCTAATAATAACATTATTTTGTGTATTTGGTGTAATGAAATGTGTTTATGCGGTTTAAAGTTCAAAAAACACATTATTT